GTTACTAAATATTCAAACTACATCAGAACAAAAAATTTTAAGTAAATAATTTATATTTATTCATAGCTTAGCAGTTTCTATAGGGAGTGGAATGAAGAGGAGAAAAACTTTGTTTATAATGAAATTTTGATTGTGATGAAAAGTCTACGGATAAGGTCTACTCCTAGATTGGATGGGATCGGGATCATATTGTTGAAGACATTGTTTGAGGATTGGCCTTCCTTTTTCATAGTGTTATATAATAGATGCTTAAGTTGGGGATATTTCCAGAGGTATGGAAAATTGGAAAATTAATCTTGATTCCAAAGGATAAAGGAAGATTTTGTCCAATTTGCCTACAGAAAACATTTGCAAAGATTTATGACAAATTTTTAGTTAATAGACTGCAATATATTTTAAATACGAATGATATTATTTCTGAAAGGCAATTCAGTTTTAGAAAGAGGTCAACCGAACTGGCTCTTTATAGAGTCATATCTGGCATTAGAGGGAAAAGAAAGACTAAGCATGTGGCTTTAGTTTAATTTGACGCCAGTGCTGCCTTTGACAATATAAAGTGGCTCCCCATGGTGCGACGCTTGAAAAATATTGGAATTACTAAGAATATGTATGAAGTTATAAAAAGTTAACTTAAAAGGCTTTAATGACGGTTTTTAATTGTCCATCTGATAATCAACTTGGTTTTTGACATTTACAAAGGATGCCCCCAAGGCTCTAGCAGCGCTCCTCTGTTCCGGGCCTCATTGTTAATGATTCACTGCAGAAAGTCAATATTTCGAATTGTGAGATTATCTATTATGCCGACGATATATTGGTTATGGTGAAAGGAGACTGTCTTGAAAAAAAAATGGAGAATGTATTTAAAAATGTAGAAAATGACTTAAAAGAATGGAGTGACAGAGAGAAAATATATTTTAATAATGAAAAATCTTGCGGACTTTTTTCCCTCGGAGTGGGAGAAAGACTAACCCCCCTCCCCACACACACACAACTGAAATTTAAGGTTAATCGTATCAAATTCAGTGAAAATATGAAATACCTAGGAATTAGTATTGATAGCAATTAAATTTTGCGGAACATTTTAAGCATGTACATAGAATCACAGATAACATTTTAAAATTTTATAAGTATAATTTTAGTGCTGATACCTTGAATAGAAAGAGTTCCACAATGACAGAGATATTTAGAAATGTGGTCATCTCTAAAATATTATACGGAGTCGGAGCTTGGGGCTGCCGGGCAGAGAAGATACTTAGGATTAGAATGGGGCAGTCGAAACGGTTCTGAAGGCTCCAGAACCATTTCGACTGAAGTTGCCTGTGCTCTTGTGTGTGTTCCGCCCCTCTCGATTTTATACAAATTATACTACAAAAATTTCTATTATCTAATCCAATTATTATACATACTGAAATTGGACAACACTCATGAGTAAGGCCTTTCAAAAAGAGAAGGAGATTATTATTCACCCAATGACACTATTTGGATTATTTATGATTTTGGTTTTCTTTCTGGTGACGAAATAGACATTTTTACAGATGGTTCCGGAATTGATGGGGGAGTGGGTAGCGCTGTGGTAATTTATTTTCATGGAGTGGAGATAAATAATATCGGAATAAAATATAAACCAATGAATTTGGTTTATCAAGCAGAACTATACGCATTAACAGAGGCTTTGAACTGGATTAATAAAAAATTAACAGTTCGATATTTTGTAAATATTTATACTGACGCCCTATCTGCGCTACAGGCACTCGCTCAAACAGATCATAAAAATCGACTGTTAATAAAATAAAAGACTTGTTTAAAAAGGCTGAAAGAAAATATTTATGAAATTACACTGGGTGACAAATAATTGCCTCTCAAAACTATTCCAAAGTCAATAAGAATTCATTAAAACTCCAAGTTGTTTAATAAAACACATTTATTAGACGTAAGCACATCGAAACTCAATATGTGCATATTTAAATATCACAAAAAGATGCCTTCTCTTTTTATAACTCAAGAACACAGCATAGATTCCTCTTAAAAATAAAAAGAAATAGAACAGACTTAGCAATATTTTACTGTTGCCAGAACCTAACTACTAAAAAATCGCGCAGTTACAAACACGTCAAAAATAAAATTCAGCACGCATTATCTCTTCTCTACATATAATAAAAGAAAGAGTCTGTCTCTGCGTGTGTGTGTGTGTGTCTTTCGTTCGCGGTGCGTGTAAGCTAATAGACCCACGGCTACGAAATTTGGTACATAGGTGCATGTAGACAAGAGCCAGTGCACCTCGAAGCGATTTTTTCGAAATTCGAATTCGAATTTTTTCTATTTTATGTTTTGTGACGAAATCGCGTCATTTTGAGACATAATGGGCTATAGGGAAGCAAGATTTTACTCTACACACTCCATTTTCACATCGTCATGAAACGTAGGCACTTAGCTATTTTACGAACTTAAAATAAATTTTGTGTTTCAATAAATCGATTACATACGAATTTATTTAACAAAGTGAGCTTATCACCTTTTCAACGGGATTTTTTCTCAAAAAGATTATTTTTAAAAATATACAGTTTATTTTTCTTTGATTTTTGGACACGTTAAACTTTCCTCCTTGCGACTGCTTTTACAAAAAGAATTTTTGAAAAATGATGATATTTTGTATTTTTTAATATTTTTTTAAATGAAGCTTCCGAATACACTTCTCATATCTTTAGAAATGTGATTTTGGCAACAATTTTCCTGTCTTATTGTTGTTGATAGATTTTTGACGAAGTCGCATCATTTTGAATAGTTTCATTCTTTTAGAAATATGGGTTTGGCAACAATTTTTCATCGTATTTCTTATGTCACTGTTTTTAAGAGATTGGCATATTTCATTATCATTCTTTTATATATATAATACATTTTTATTGATTTTTTTCGATAAAGTAGTTCTGCAGAGTAAAATTCTGCGGGGAATTTTTTGTTTTTTGAGTTGCTTTAATGTTATTTTTTGCTTATTTCACTGTTTGTAAGATATTTAAAAGTTGTGCTTGATTTTCTTTCTTCAACGGAAAGTTGGTTAATTTTTTTATTAGGATAATTAATATTTGTATTAAGGGATATAGCTTATTTCATTGTAATTCTTTTCTCTTTGAAAATATAAGATAAAATATCATTAATTATACTTTGCTTTTCAGAGTTTTTTTTTTTTTGTATTCTTTATGTTATTTATTGCTCATTTCACACTGTCTTTAGATATTGAAAAGTTTTGAGTGATTTTTTCAGGAAACAAAGTTCTTAACCTCCTTTATACCATTTGAGTTCTTAAGATTTTGCAAAAGGAAGTTGGTTAATTTATTTATTAGAATAATTAATATTTGTATTAAGGATATTGCTTATTTCAGTGTAATTTTGTTATACGTAATAACTTTTTTTATGAAGTTGTTCTGCAGATTAAAATTCTACGGAGTTTTTAAATTTAACGTTTGGCGTTCCCTTCAGCCATTTTCCCGGTACATTTAAAAGCCAGACGAAAGTTCAAAGATAAAAATAAAATATAAACAAAATAATAACTTACGTTTGTAACAATTTGAAAGATACAATTTTTCATATACTCCCACCTAAGTTAACTAAAATATAGAAAGTTAACTTGTAAATATAGTTGCTAATATTAAAAAGTTTAAAATATGTTTCATCATTCCTACAAGTCTCTCCCACCAACCTTCACACCAAGGAGCATTAGATGGTATAAACTTCCAAGTTATGTGTTCTCTTGCTTCAAGAAAAATTTCTCAAAATCGATTAACGCAAAGGCACTGGCAGCTCCTTTGAAATTAGTTCCATTATCACTGTATACGACTGAAGGTTTCCCTCTGTGAGCAATAAAAACGATGAAAAGCTAGTAGAAATGTCTCCGTTGACATGGATGTTACTAATTCGAGGTGGACGGCACGATACACCGCACAGGTGAAAAGAGCAATCCAAGCTTTTGAGTTATCTCTTAGAATCACTGGGCCAGCAAAGTCCACTCCTGTTATCTGAAATGCAGCAGCGTCTTGAACTCTATCTCTGGTGGTGGCGCAGTGGGAGGATTATTACCTCTAGCTGAAAATCGCTTGCAAATAATGCAAAATCTCAATACATGTTTAACGACTCTCCTTCCGCAGAGAAGTCGGTATTTCTCTCTTAAAGAATTTAAAGTGTATGAGACAGCAGCATGCCCATTTCTCCGGTGATCTTCTAACACCAAACTTTTCACGAGTGGATGTTCTGGTAAAATTGCTGGCGTTTTAAATTCTTCATGATCATCTCTTCTGAGTACAGCTGATTTCAATCGTATAGTTCTTTTATCAAGGAAATGTGTCCAACGATTGTAATCGTTTATCTCTTAAGCCACCGAAGGATTCTTGTTGTATTAAATACACTATTGTTTTCTATGCTTCATGGATATCAGATACACTGAGATTCCCTCTTTTCTTTTCTTGCTTATGTCGACAATTGTAGACAAATCTCTTTATCTATCCCAGGATATTTACTGCTTTTTTATAATCCGCAAGATGAGAATTTAGGAAAGGGCTCACTCCAGCAGTCAACATATAAGATACGATTTTCTTCATTCGTTCTCTGTTTACTTCCTCTTCACATGTAATATCTTCAGTGACAGGCCACATTTCATCTGGTAGATAGAGTCACGAAGGACCCTCATCATTTCAAAGACTCAAAATGTAGTGCAGAGCAACCTCTGCTAGGAAGATCTTCTGGATTCATTGTACCGGGAACATATCTCCAGGTTTCTTTAGATGTCAAATCTAATACCTCTTTTACTCTATTATGGACGAAAACGCTCCACGAATCTTCTCTTCTTATCCAAGCGAGCACATCGTTGAGTCAGTCCAACAGTAAATCTTTTTAACTGGAAGATCTTTTAGTATGCTTGGCAAAAGTCGTGCAGCGATAGTAGCACCAAGAAGATCCAATCGTGTAATGCTAGTTCTTCTTTTTCCACAGGCTAAAATTCTTGCTCTAGCTTATAGAAGTTGAGTATACACTGAGTTTTCTTTTTCAACACAAAGAAAGACTGCTGTCGCATATGCAAATTGACTTGCATCACAAAACACATGTAAAGAATGCTTATCATTTACTTTCCCAAATTTTATCGATCTTGGGACTTCAGCTTTAGACAAAAAAGGTACATCTTTCATCCATTTTAAAAATTCTTTCTTTGTATCTGCATCTACTTCCTGATCCCAGCTGATGTTTCCTTTCCATAAATGTTGTAAAAGAAGTGTGGGAATTAAGGTTATTGGACAAGCAAATCCCAAAGGATCGAAAATTCTGTGAGCAGCAGCTAGAATAGTTCTTTTCGTTATTTTCTCAGTACACAGATTCTCGAAATGAGATATATTCACTTTGAGGGTATCTCTCATTTTGTTCCATATTAATCCAAGAACATTTGTAGAGGTAAGAGAAAATCTTGAAGAATCTGTATTTTCCCATCTTCTCTAATCAAACCATCTTTCTTCCATTACTTCTGAATCCACTGTTATGAAAGTTTACAATTCAGATTCATCTTTCACACTCGTGACATGATTGTCAACTAAAACTACTAAGAAGTTTCTATATAATTTCTTTTCGATAAATGGACTGTCCGTCTACGCAATGGTTTAGAACTGTCTATAAATGATGCTGAATAACAGCTCTAAGGAGGAAGGCACTACTTGAAACTCCGAACACAACTCTACAGTGACGATAAATTTTCAATTCATTGTTGCTATTTACCCACAGGAATCTTAGGAAATTTCTATCATTTGGATAAAGGCTTATTTAGAGAAAAGCTTTTCGAATATCTGCAACGACACCTATCTTGTCTAAACGAAATCTAGTAAAAATGGAAGGAATCAGTCCTATGAGGTTTGGGCCCTTGTCTAAATATTCATTGTGACTTTTCCCTTGCTGAAGCATCAAATACTGTTCGGATTCGTGTTGTACTGTTTTCTTTAACAATATGTCTGTGAGGCAGATAATGACAAGGAACATCTTTTTCACTCAATGGTACTTTTTCAAATGATACCTTCTTTCAACCAATCCTGAAATATATTTCCGTAATCTTCATACAGGCCATCAGCTTTTAATTTCTTCAATGTAGAATTCAGTCTTTTGAGAGATAAGTTACAGTTGTTTGGAAGTAGACGGTGACCTTCAATCCATGGTAGACTTACCATAAAGCGTTCGTTCTCGATTTTTACGATATTTAAAAATGGGACTTAGCCGTTTCCTCAAGTTTGGATTTTGTTTTGCTTTCTGATGGGTCTCTGATACCTAAACTACATAATGTCCACAAATCTTTCATACAAGCATTTTTATTTAACATTGAAATTAAAGTTGTACTCTCACTGGACGACGCTGCTGGGATGCGACATATAATCGCACACCCTAGTTTTGTTTCAATAGCTGCAAGACCACTGGGTAGAAGTTTATAACCGCCAGTCATCAACTTGCCCGATATGTCAGCTCCAATTAAAATTTCAATAGGCCACATTCCTCACATATTACAGGCTGGCTTAATGCTTCGAAATAACAATTATATGTACACTTCATATTTGATAAATATATCATTAACACATCATGTTTATATACTTTAGTATTACTTCCTCCGAACAGCGAATGTTGAAGGTATTCATTTCCTAAGGCTTTGTACCCCATCTCTTTAGCTGTTTTACTCAGAATGTAAGACCTCTGAGAAGCAGAATCAATAATGGGAGCTTTACGCTTTTTACCAACCAGTGCATCTTAAAATCACAGTTAATGTTTGTAACATAACATTAGGTGCACTTGATACATTAGCAAGTGCCTGATGCGTATTTCCAAATTCTACCCCATTTTTCGAATTTTTGACGTCACGGAAATATCGACTAGGTTAACCTGGCAAGACGGCCTACCCCCTTTTGAATACTACGGCGCGCTTTCGAAAGAATTGTGCTGAATAGTGTGTTTAGGTGCTTAATTGTGAGATTTCCGCACTTTAAATTATTATGAGTGGAAATTTAAGCAAAATCTTTAGTGAACGGTTATTGCTTATCGCCGTAGTGTATTTGAGGAAAGAGGAGAATAATTCACTATGTACATTAACAGTATGAAAAGGCTGGCAAAATTCAGCGACGCCTGTAAAACAAACGAGATTGTTAGAGAAACTTATTCACATCTGAAGCCACTATACAAAAATTGTATGTTTGCCAATGCAGCAATTTTAATAAAAAATAAAAAATAAAAAACACTTGCAGAAAACTTCAGATCAAGGAATAAGAAAGAATTGCAGTGCCTCTACGTGAACTACAAAGCATTCTGCAGACTTTCGTGCCAAAATCAATGTTGACAAATAGATTAATACATTTTAATGTTTCTTTTAGTGTATATATTTCAAAATTATAAAAATAACTTGCACAGTTGTTTAATTACTTAGAACAGCAATAATGTTCATTTATAAAGATATACAAGGAACTTCATAATTATCGAAATACTTCATTACTTTCATGAAAAACTGAAATTTACTAAATTACCTAACTTTATAACATTAAATATCTTAGTAACTGTAGTATTATGCTCTGTTTTATGAAAGCTCAACTACTTTATTCATTTGTTATACATTAAAATATTTTCTGATTTATTTATTAAACGTGTAATCAATTATCAGGATTACTAAATGTGTTAAGAATTTCCATACATGCTTGTTCAGTGTGATTGCATGTTTGTGCAGTGAACTTTGATTTTCATGAACGAAAAAGAAATACAATCTCCGAATAAGTACTTTTTTGTTTTCCAGTTCCTGTATTTAGCTGTAAAAGTAAATTCACTTCAAGTAAGTGTCTGTGCACTTTTGACGATGTAAATACTAAAATGTGTGTACAGTAAAAACTCAACTAAAAAAATATCCGGAAAGCTCTTGAAATTTTGGGTAGTCGAGCATACAAAAAAATGAAATACTGTAGAAAAGTAAGTTAATAGAAGAATAGACTACTAGTCTAAAATCATAAAAACAGTTCATCTTATTTGTATCAACTTGACTATCAAAAGCCAATATTTAATATGCAAGATTTTGAAAAAAAAAATGTATGCTGCTTATCTTTGGAATATGAATAACAGTGTGATTTTTGCAATGGTTGTTATGTGGATTAAGATTGCAAGTTGAGACTTTAAATATAAACAATTAGTAATCTGAAAATTTGAAGCAGTAATTTTATATCCAACATAACTTCCCAAATAACGTCCATGTTTTAAGTAATTCAAAATATATATTTTAATCCCACTTGTTATTAATTTTATAAAGTACATTCTATCATTAAACTTTTATTTACTTTCATCTATTTTAATGCCTGTGCCATTATAAATTTCATACTACGTTTTTAGGATTTCATAGCTGCTAATTAAGTGAACAGATTTCATATTTTTTATCCTGACTTCCTTTACAATTTATTTAGTTATTTATACATACATATATATTTTATGTAAGAAAGGGATTTATGTGCAATAGATTATACAGTGAAAATCATTTAACAAAAACGAAAACTGAGGGAATTGAAATATTTTTTCGTGTTAAAGAAATATTGAAAAAAAAAAAAAAAAAAAAAAAAAAAAAAAAAAACATATATTCAACAAAATTAAGTTTATTACAGTACATTTTATTTGCATATATATGTATGTATATATGCATGTATTTAATAAAAATCAATGAAACAAAAAACATCTACAAGAAATTAATGAAAGTTAAACAAAATTTCCAAGTTTTTTTTTTAAAACAAAATATTGAGTTTTGAGAAAATAATCTGATATTTTTCTTTCCATTGTCTTTTTTAGCATCAAATTGTTAACAAATTGTTCAATGTCGAACATTTTGTTATTCATTTCACCATTGGAATGTGCGTCTAAATAATTTAATATAAATAATAATAAATGTATGATGTTCCTCATTTCGGATGACGTGGGAACAGGAACTGCATTATTCATTTTATTTTTGTCGTCGGAATCTGCATCAATGATATTTTTTGAGCCTTTTGAGCTTTGAACAAACTCCAAAATAACTTTGTCTGCCATAATTGCAGCTGTACAGACATTATCATAAACTACTGCAACAACTTCTTCCGGTAGTACAGTAGGACAGTTCATTAATACAAAAACTTTCTCAAACATTTCATAAAGTGTCAGCTCAGTGTCAATATCCTACTTCTCCATTTTTTTTGGTGTCAAAGAATCTGATACTTTTGAGAATCGTGTGTAATGAAAACAATTTTCATTCACTGAATTCCATCCACAGTGCAACAGATGAACCAAACTCACTAATTTTTACTCACACTGCCATGTACTTGTCACCGAATTCCAAAGCCAACTGATGAGAGATGAGATGTTTGTGTAGCATTTGTAGAGGTGGAAGGCGAAAGTAACATAGATAAACAAAACTGGCTCATGTCACGGGCATTATTCCGAGGGTATTTCAAAGCAATTTAGCCTCCCTTCTACGAAAACATGTGAAACCACCTCTCTTTCATTTCACATCCCACTCAATTCTCGCCTGCGATGGCGGCGTTTTCTGTATTTTGTTATTTTCCAGAAAGGATATCTTTTCGTATTAAGCGATTTTTGTTTCGTGCTAAGAGAAAAAAAATGCATGAAAATACATAGTAGTTTGTGAGGACCTTTGCATTATTTCATGTTAACCGATATTTCGTTTTAAGCGTTTTCATGTTAAACGTATTCCACTGTACACAGATGTGTTTGGACTATGTATATACAAATAATTTTTTAAAAGGAAAATTTATAATCCTTCTAAAAATTGATCAGTAAATATATAAAGAAAGAAATTTAGAACCAATTTTTCACAAAGAATAAAAATTCAAATTCAAATTAACTTGATAAAATCCTGTAAATGTAGAATATCAAATATTCTTTTTAGACTAGTACAATCTTTTTAAATTGGAAGATATTTTTAATGATTTGACTTCCCGCCCCCCATTTTACTATTGCTGTTTGATAAGAGGTTCTAGTAAAGTTTTGTGTTAAGATTATTTTGAACTTTCAAAGATTTTCTACTGTAGGATTTTATTTTTTTTTTACATTTTTAAGGGCATGTTTTAATTTTTTTAAGATTCTTTTTAGATTAGAAAAATATTTTTAAATTGGAAGATATTTTTAATGATTTTCCTTCGCTTTGAGGAGGACCAGAATTTTCGGGTGAACTATTAAGATAAAAAATATACTGAAATGGTTCACCAGCTGATTCTGGATACAGAAAAGCAAGGATTTTGTTTTAGAAGAGGAAATGTAATTAAATTCGACATACCTCCTCTTGACGATATTATTATGTTGAAGTTGGTTGAATTCATCGTCTTTCTTGTTCTTTTATACTATTTTTTTTGGGGGGGGGTTATCATTCAGG